CCACATTCCACACTCTCCCAACACGCAACATACAAGAGTAAGACTATTTTTGAGCTTTTATGCAATTTTCTCTGTATACACACTATGCAAACACACACAAACTAGGACATTTTAAAAAAATTAAAATACGTTACGATAGATGTTTGACTTCTAATACATGTTTTTATTTTTTTTGGTTCCAAAATGGCAACCCCCTTCCCCCCAAAACGATTACTTCTGGGGGCAAGGGCAGGGAATACTGGTGGCAAAGGTCAGGGGTTAGAGGGCAGGACTTGCAGTCCCAAGATGGTGACCCCAGGGGTGGCGTGGGGTGGGGCTACCCTTGACAGCTCACCAAAACTCATTAAGTGGCCCTCCAGCTGAAATAATTGTCCACCCCTGTCCTAGACTACCTGAAGCTTTATAATGTTAGATATTCAGTTATGCACTTTGTTGGTGGTAAACATTCTGATTTTGATTGAACAGCCTTAAAATTAATTTTTTTAAAAGTATCTAACTGGCAGTTTAATAAAAGCCAGTGCATGTTAATTGCCTTTTCCTGTTTCCTCAATGGCCAACTAGGTTTGTATTATTTTTATAGACACCCAAGGACATTGTTTTAATTAACTGGTATTACTTTAACAGCAAAGACAATAACATTAAATGAAGTTACATCTTACCGATACTACTTTCTGTCAGTTTCTCAACTACTGATGACAGAAAATAGAAATATTAAAGAAGACATGCATTATAAAATAGGACTGTACCTAACATAATGCTTTGCATCTATCAATAGTTGACAAGTCAATATAAGAAATAAAAGAAAACAGAAAACTACTTTTAAAGCTTCCCCAAGATAACTACTGACTATAAATATTTAGAGCTTGATTCTCAGAAATGTCAATAGCTCCAAACGATTTTAATTAGAGCCATGGATGCTCAGCTCCCACACACCTGGATCTTGTAAGGAAAAGATAAGAATTCTTAGCAACAGCCACAAATCTTTTTACTGTGCCAGTGAGCCTGTATCTTCGTGTTGCAAAACCACAATGTAAATTCACTGAATTTAAACTTAAGGAGTGACAGTTGACTTAAAATAAAAAAATCCATTTGAATTTCTCTACTATCATTTGAAGCAACACCTAACATGACTAATAGCAAGAGACTGCAAAAAAGATTTATTCTTTCATTTATTTTGTGCATTCAGCAGCACTGTGTAAAGCCAGCTGCAGTGTTTCTTGTGTGCCTAGGTTTTTCACAAAGCATGAAAGAAGAGAAGAGATGAAGCACTACTGAAAGCACTACTTACAACCTGAAACTTTGCATCTAAAAGCCATTACTGATTAAAATAACACTGTCTCTCACCAAAAATGCCAGTGAACACTTTACACCTTGGGGAATTAAGCAATTTTGCACCTGCGCAATTTTGCGCATAAACGGCATGACCACACATAATTGTATAACTTTGCATGATTTAACCACAGCAGGCTCTGTGCCTCTACCTCCATGATGTGAAGGCACAGAGCTGTGTGATTGGACAGCTGGGTAAGTGGAAAGGGCGGCTCCTGCCTGCAGGTGGGGACGGGATGGGGGAGTGTGTGGGTGAGTGAAGGTATGGGCTGTGTGCCATCGGGTTGGGCCAGCCAACTCAGTGCTTCCACGACTCCATGGGAAGCAGCACGTGGAGGCACAAAGTCTGCCCGCTCGATGGCATGCAATTCCATGCCTCCATGTGTGGCTTCCCGCTGGAGAGCTGGAAGTCCCACGTGGAGGACCAGCTCAGCCCGATGCCACGTGGACCAGAAACCACGTGCCATCGGGCCGGTGGGAAGCCACACGTGGAAGCATGGAGTTGCGTGCCATCAGGACAGGCAGGCTCCTGCTGACCTTCACATGAGGCTTCCCACTGGAGTGCTGGAAGTCCCATATGGAGGCATGGAGCCTACCCAGCCCGATGGCATGTGGACCAGGAGCCACGCAGCATTGGGCTGGAGATAATTGGGCCATATTTGATGTAGCAGACTGAAATAGTCTGCTCTTCTTTGGAAACTGGTCTTATTTGAATCAAAACATTTAAAAGCATATACTGAACTGAAGTACATGGTATTAATGCCTTAAGCAAGAGCTATATTGTTTGAAAAAAAAAATCTGTGCTAAACAAATGATACGCAGGTAAGATTTTGCAATAGTCTTCTCCAAAATAAGAAAAATGCAAATTTGTTCGTCACTAATGTCATGCATTATATATTTCATTTTAAATACAGGTATTTATATAAATATTTATGGTTTGTCTATGTAGCAGTCCATGCTTTCAGAAGTAAAATTAAGATTTGTTTTTTATATGGAGAAAACAGATGTATAACAAACAAGCTGGTTCCATTTAATTTGCTTTTTGAAAATTCATATAAATGTTCAAATCACTTAAGGACAGGTTGGATAATTTTTTAAAATTTAAATCAGATTTTTGTTGATATAATCACTTTTTTATTTTTTTAAAGATGATTTGTTTAAAAATAAACCTCTAAAGATAGTATTAATTTATGTTAAAGCTTAAAGATATCACCATGGAATAGGGATTATAGCTTCTCATTACTATTTGAGACAATATATTCATGTAACTTTTTTAGAAAAGTTTTGAAATAGGTCACAACAGGACATGGACTATATTAGGGGCCCAATCTTATAGGGTCCCCAGAGGCTCCTCTATAGATTAGTAAAGATTAAAGAAAACCACTCTACCCAATGGGACTTGGTGCTCAGTGTAGAAGATCCCATTAAGCATCTCTGTGATGCTTAGTTTCAGTTCTCAAACTGTGGACTTCTCTCCAGAGACCACAGCCTTGTTAACAGCTGTATATGAAAATGAGAGAGAACAGACCTGATTAGCTAGCCATCAGCACTATTGTCTTTCTGCAAGTTACATGTCAAGCCCTTACCTTTCTCTAAAAGTGCAAAGTTGCAAGCAATTAAGTGAATGGAGGACTGTTGGGGGTAGGGTAGATCTGGGCAAGGAAGGTTGGAGATAAATGCGAGGAGGAAGCAACAGTAGAAATAAAGAGAAAAACATTGAGGACAATTTCACTGAAATTACAATACTTCTGTAACAACCACTTTGCAGCGGCTGCTCTGAAGAAAGCAGGAAGAACCAAACTAACTGTCCCACACGACATGTGATGGAACTCAGTAGTGGACTGTTTTGAGCGACATATTGAGAACTGGCCTAATCTGATGACAATTTGTGAACAATATTGTAATCAAATAGATGGAATTGTCATAGCCAAAGTCCTCAACATTGGGCTAAAAAGAAATGTAGAACATATGCTGGCTATCCTGAAGCCTGTTTCTGTAGCTTTGAACAAAGATTATATCAACCAACAAGAATGCACTTTTCA